TCTGGAGGAAACCTTGCTGCATTGCCTGTGGGTATATCTTTCAGTTGTCTGCCCTGTCCTGACTCCTCTGCTCTCAGTCCTAACCCAGAGTTAGTCTTTGCAGCTGTGGCTTCTCTGATCAGTGCTGCCTGAGAGCTCCTGTGTTGCCAAGATTCTCCCGGAGGCCTGTGGAAGTCACCAGTAGGGGGCAGCCCAGCATGCTCCTCAGTCTTCTGGTTCCTGCCCAGTGGCGTTTTTAGACTGTCTTTTAGGTGGTCCAGGTAACAAAGAATTTAAGTTCAGGGGTATTTGTCCAATGTGTAACTGAGAAGCCCTGGGATCTTCCCCGCTTGTATTACTTTCTTTGTCTCTCTTTCCATTTCTCAGCACCTTCTTTCTTCTCTCCCTTCTTACCTCTCTCCCTTCCCCTTACCTTTATTTCTTCCAAAATTTTAAAAATCAAAAATGTAACACCATCACAAGAACTTTCTGTGTTTATATTTAAAACTGGTGCTTTAACTTTTTGGTCTTTTTTTGTTACAATCTTTTTATTTATTTGTTTGTTTGTTTGTTTTTAAAGATTTATTTATTTATTTGCATACACGAATGGGGGTACAGGCCAGAGGTGTGAAGGGTGAGAGGATTCACCAGAGACAGAGTGGGGAACAGAACAGGCAGACTGACTGAAATACACTGCTGAGGGGAGCAGCAGGCAAGATAGGAGAGGTCTGTGGCACCATGTGGGTAGCTCCCTGGCTGTGTGGGGATCAAATTCATGCTGCAGTGGATGAGGCTAGCTTCATATGTTGCTTCTTAATCCCTTGTGCCACCAGGGAGGCCCTGTTACAACCTTTTTAAATAAGTGAAATAGTTTAACAATTTGTTTCTTTACCCCAGACGTATTTTCCTTTCCCAAGGTGAACTTCATGCAGTCTTCTTAGACTTTTACATGTGTACTGGATAATAAACATTATATAGTCTGTGTATTTTTAAAACTTCACATATATTGTTTCACAGTAGATGTACATATCAGTATGTGATTTTGCTCCTTTTTCTTTCTCACTTTGCATGGAGATCTTTTTGCTTAAATATAAAAATATAGTTCAATTCAACTTATGTATTTTTTAATCAACTTGTATATTTAATATCTTATTTGCTTGAATTTCTTCATTGATGAATACTTGGGTATACATTTGATAATGATCATAACACAATATTATGAATATTGTGAATATTCTTGTGTGTGTGTCCCCTTGTGTGGGTATGTGAGAACTTCTTGCAGGTGAACACCTAGGAATGAAATTTTTGGTATAAAGTGTGTTGATTGATGATATTCCAGGTTACCTGGCAAATTGCCTATCAGAATTGTTATACCAGTTTACACTCTCTCTAAAAATATAACAGAGACCCCTAATCTCATTAGAAATGCTTTTCATTGTCAGACTTTAAACATTATGCCATTCTAGTGGGAGAAGAGTGATACATTACTGTTGTTCTAGTTTGCGTTTCAGGTTGTGGGGTGAGTAGCTTTCCTTATATTTCTTGGTCTAGAATGGAGGTTACCCCTCTGTAAATTGTATTTTACTGGTTTTCATTCTAACCTTTCATTCTAACCTATGTTTCCTTACTTGATGGAAACCACAGGGAGTTTCTTAGGAGATCAAGTTCATGAAAGCTTTATAGCCAACAGCCATGTTGTAGGCATCTTCAAATGGTCACCAGGAAGGGAAATTCTTGGCATTTGCCACTGGAATGATCTTTGTGGCCTTTAAATTCAACTCTTCTGTTGGTGTTTCCATTTTGATCAGGAGAAAAATTCATTTATTTATCCAGGGCATTCCTGTCTCCCCAGAAGGAGAATATTCTCTGTGACTGACTATTTTTCATAGTTTCGCATGGATCTCTTGATGACTCTCAGCAAACTCTCCTATCTGACCTTAGATCCAAGAACTTTGATCCAGGTATCTAACTTATTTTCATCTCAAGAATACCATGAATTTACCACTGGCCAAATTTATCCTACCTCTCCTTCTTTTCTTGGGCATTGGTGACTAGAATACTTGGAGTTAAGCTTGTGTTCTTTTGCCAACAAGTCTATGCATTTTTAACCTTAATTCTTTAGTTCCATTGATATTCTGCTCTTGCTTTTCTTTGTTCTATTCCTTCAATTTTTATTTGTGTTGTCTCATTTATTTTATTTTATTTACTATAACTGGGAATTTAAAAACTAAACAGCTGATGAAAATGAAATAAAAATGTTAAAAAGGGCATACCTAACAAAAAGTTAAAATAGATGCTTTATGCAACAGATGTTAAGAATGTAGGGGGTGGCTGGCCCATGATGTCAGCATGTAGAACACACTGGTGATCCAGGCAAGGAGGGGTGGCTGAATTCTCAGGTGATTTCAGAACTGCAACAGCAGCTACATGAACTCAGCTGGAGGCAGTGGAAGATGCTCAGGAAGTCCTGGCTGTGATTGCAAAAGAAACCTTGTTCTTGTTACCTGCCCTTTTTGCTTCTAGTTGCAAGAACAAAGCATTAACACTTAGGAATGCAGTTGTTGTAGGGGGATATCTTTTTAAAAAATTTATTTATTTATTTGTTTGTTTGTTTGTTTGTTTGTTTGTTTATACAAGAACCGGGGTACAGGCCAGAGTCGCGGGAGGGTAAGAGGATTCACTAGAGACAGACGGGGAACAACAGGCAGACTGATGAAATACACTGCTTAGGGGAGCAGCATGTGTGGCAGGAGAGGTCTGCTGAACCCTGGCGCTGGGAACAAACTGGCACTGCAGAGGCTGCAGACAGCTTCACAGCACTGTGCTCAACCGCCTGTGCCACCAGGGGAGGCCCAAGTAGGGGGACAATTTAGAAGAGGGACATTGTAGTTTCTGTTGAAAATGTCAGTGGAATGAAAGCCTTGGGAAATGTATCTAAAATGTGATAATTTTGAAACATTTCATAAATACTCTTGATGCTGAAAGTTGTTTGAGGAGAAGGTTGGGGTGCTAAAATGTTTCCTTCTTCTGTGTGTGGTAGCTGGAGGGAGGAAAATGAATCTTTCCTTCAGGTCTATCAAGAGCCAAGCCCTGGGGATCAGGGGGACCAAGATCTTTGCGAGGAAGATGTGCTTCTGTCTTGGATGTTCCCTCATCTTGTAACTGGGGATGTGTTTATGTGGGTTTTTTAAAAATTATTTCTCTTTGATATAATTTTATTTCTTCAGAACATTTACTTGTACTTTATGTCTAAAATTTGTTTCTTAAAAATGGGTGCACCACTCTTACAATACATAGCTTGTCATCTTTTTTGCTTTTTAGGATTGGATAGAAGGGGCCTAGTGAGGCTCGATCCTTTCTTCCCCATTGGTTACTAGATTATTCATTTTAACTCATGTTGGCAACAATAGGGACACTTATTTGCTTTCAATATATTGGTTGGAACATATTGTTTATCTACAAATTTTGAAAGAGAAAGTGGAAAATCCACCCTGGAACAACATCCTGTAATACTTTTGGAAACTTCAAGTGCAGCCTGCCCATACATCCACTCATCTACATACCACCTATGTACTCTCCCTCCTTCCCTCCCTCCCGCCCACCCACACATCCATCCATCCATCCATCCATCCATCCATCCATCCATCTATCCACCACCCATCCATCCTTCATCATTTGAACACCTATTTTGTGTAAGGTTCTTTGCTAGATGCTGATGCACACATTAAAAATGATAAAACAGGATACAGGTGTCTTCAAAGAGGTTGTGATCTAAGAGCAGTAAATAGACATGTACTCAAATAAATACAGCACAAGGAAATTCCATGATGGTCCTTTTAAGAATTTTGTGTTTGAATTACTAAGGATTGTCTTGGTTACAAAGGACAGGGATTCATATCAAACTTCGGTTAGTGACATCTAACCTCAGGGATAACTGGAACATAGACTCCATGGCATTTTCAGGGTTCTCTCTGTATCTCTTAGTTCCTTTTGTGTACTGACATCATTCTTGAATAGTCTTTCCTTGTATTAGAAAATGTTTCCAATGGCAGTCCCAGTCCTGTGTAATCTTTTTCTTCTTTTTTTATGTGTAATCTTTTACACACACACACACACACACACATATACACATACATACATATGTAAACACATATATACATATACACACATACATATATATGTATATATATATATATATATATATAGAGAGAGAGAGAGAGAGAGAGAGACTCAGTGCTAGCATTCATTAATTTTGGTACGATTCTCACTGGTCCAGTTTGAAGTCACATGCACATCTCTAACCCAAGGCCAAGGGGATGGGCTTTTCTGGCCAGCAAAGTCATAAGTTTATTCCCATATTTGAAGTTTTGGGACTAGAGGGAGAGGAAGGTTTATATGAGAAGCATTAAGGCCACATGGGGTTTGTGAAATATGCCTCCTGAAAGGTAAAATCACCATTATTATAGATAAAGAAAGGAAGAGGAAATGCTGGGTCAGGAAAAAAAATTGTGTTGAGGCAGGAAAGGTGAGTAAAGGGGGGAGAGGAGTCTGCTTTAGGGTTTTAGGTAGTAAACGGAGAGACTGGCTGTTTTCTTGGAATGTGAGGAGAGATGTGACTTGTTTTGGGTGGTGTCTTGGGATGACATCAGTACCCCCATGACTATCACCAAAAAGACAAAATGCCTTTGAGAGATAGTGGATGCATTTCCAAGTAATTTTGAGGTCCCTTGGAAGGGGAAGCAAACTGAATTTGTCTGTGGAAAGAATGATGAAAGATTAAGAAAAAAATGGAACCTGCTCAACCTGTCACTGACTATGAAACCTGGTCCATCATGGTTTCTTCTCAATCATACTCCATCTTACTCTTCTTGCTGTATTTAAAAAAAATGGGGTGAGCTGTCTGGGTGGAATGGGATCATCTTTGGTAACCTGGTAAGGTTGGATGGAAGTTACCCCTTCTGTCATGTATCCCCAACATTCTGAGTCACTGGTTTTCACTGTTTTTTTTTTTTTTTTTGCAGTTACATTGCAAATCAGAAAAGATTAGAAATCATCAATGAAGATGATGTTGAAGCTTACGTGGGACTGAAAAATCTGTGAGTGCTCCAAACTTCCATGCATAATCTCAGAACTTTTTCTTATGCTTTATTATTGTCAGAGAGCAGTCATCATTTAATTCTAACAAACATGCACTTATATATGTTTTCATAGGACAATTGTGGATTCTGGATTAAAATTTGTGGCTCATAAAGCATTTCTGAAAAATGACAACTTACAGTACATGTAAGTAAAAGTTTATTTATTTATTTTGCTTCCCAGGTTCCCATTTATTCAATATTCTCATCTTCTCATTTGTTTCCCTTATTTTCCAACTCTAAACTCCCTTTAAAAAAATAAGTTAGCATAGCTGTGACAATAACTTAGAAACATTTAGCTTTGATTTTGTTTGATTTTTGAATAGCTTCAGAGGAGTACTTAGAACAGCCTGTTTATTTCCTTTCATGAATTTCTGGGCCACTTCCATCTTGGACAGAGCAATAGGCCAACAGCAAGGAGTCTGATGTGAAAACTATGACCTGGTATAGCATCCTTGATTCTTTTCCTTGGAATTGTAACATGTTCCCTGGAAAACATCAAACTAGTGCAATTGAAAGAAACTTGGCCTTTTTCAGGAACTAAAAATTGCTAATGCTTCTCCCTCCCCTTACAATAGAACCTCCTTGAACCCTCAGTTTCCCAAAGCTATCTGTTACTATTGATAAAAGTAAAAAAAAAATCATGGGACATTTAAAGGGTTCAAATTGTTATTAACAATAGCTAAACCTTTCCCTAAACTCACATTGATGCTTTCTTGATTGCATTCAAATGGAAATATGGAAAATAGGAGCGTTTAGGTTGTTTGCTGCTAAATCCTATTAGATGATAGAGTTAGTCAATAAGATATGACTGTCCTGAGAGATTTGTGCATTTAATAGAGAATCACCACTCTGAAGCTCAGATTGGTGTTCCCCATGCCTGAGTTTTCTGTGGGTGCTTCTGCTGGAGGAATGTTGCTTGAATTCATTGACCCTTCTGTGTTTTGAGAATTCCATTTGAAACAATACCCTATTTTCTCAGAATCTACAGACTCTCATCATCATTTTTCTGATGATTAGTTAGGAAGATATTTTGATTTCCATCTTATAGACATAAAATAAAACTGAAAAATTTCTAGTAGTTGCTCCAGTCCACAGATTGCAAGTGGCAGGGTTGTGATTGCAGGGCTCACTCCAGGCCATGTTCCTACACTAAGAGGATGGGAAAGAAAGTGTGTGCTACCAATACACTTGGAGAATCAACCCTTGTTATAACATTAGTCCTTTTTGTTTTCTTGGGGAGATTAGTTTCTCCACTGGTTTTCAGGCTAGTTATAAAATAAACCATTCACTTAGTCTAGGCTGCCTGATTACTCATGAAGATTTGTTGATATTTGTGAACATCTTGATTTCATAAAGCCAGTACCATGACATCATATTTTATAGATGTCCTTAAATGGAGAAGTCAACTTAAAAAAAAAAGTCTATAGAATTAAGATATAAAACATTCAGCAAACCATTATGAATCTCCAGGGAACTTTATTAGCACATTTCCCTTTAAATGCTTTCTAGAATCATCTAGGTAGTTGATTTGTCTGAACAGATCTGGTGTCTCCACGTAACTTTGATAGCATAAACAAGAGAAAACTTGGATATAAGAAAAATGTAAAATGCTCTAATGCAATTATTTAAATGTAATTAATGACTTTTATTGGTTAAGTATGGGGGTTTTCCTTACACTTGACTTTAGAACTGAATTACTCAATAAAGACATTTTACTTCCCCTAATGTTATGATTTGTATGGTGGGCTTCTGGTTCATTCTACTTTTAGTAATAGATTTATTACTTTTCTATACTGCTTATATTTCCCTACTGTCCTTGCTGCATGCTTTTTGTATGAAATCCTGTGTATTTTTTTTTTCAGGGTGATTTATGATAGAATAATTTTAATGGCATTCATTCCATGTCCTGTATACAACCATCTGTACCTGTCTCCCATAGAGGTGTGACTTGAAAATAGAAAACCAAAGAGACAGACTTACTCCGTATAGCTTCTTTTTTTCTGAAGATTTATTTTTCATGCATACAAGAGCTGGGGTACAGGCCAGAGATACGGGGGGTGAGAGGATTCACCAGAGACAGTGGGGAACAGAACAGGCAGACCGACCAAAGTACACTGTTGGGGGGAGCAGCAGGCAAGTCAGGAGAGGTCTGCTGCACCATGTGAGTTGCTCCCTGGCTGGCCGGGGGATTGAACTCATGCTGAAGAGGCTGTGGATTACTTCATGGTGCAGTGCATAACCCCTTGTGCCACCAGGGAGGCCCACTCTGTATAGTTTCTTTTAAAAAGAACAGTTGGGAAGCCCAATCATTTATCAAACTACAAAATCTCCACTGATATTTGTAAGCATGGTCTATACTAAGACAAAACAGAATTAGAATTAATAGACAGTTATGAAGTTGTAAAATGTCACTTAGCTTCATATATTCACATAACAGAAGAGGTTCCTCATTGCCAGTATATGACATTAAATTAAGTTGTTGTCTTTTGAGGATGGCAGGGAGAGGAGGGAGTTAAGTTAGGATTCTGCCTTTCCAGATCTTCATTCAACTGCTGCTTATGACTGAGAACTCAGGCAATGGCTCCTTCTGCCTGATTTCCCTAACAAAAATTGTACTTTCATGTAAATATCAACATAATGGGTGCAAGGGAGCTGGCAAAGAAATCTGTATCAGAGGATGTTTCTCTATACTCTGGGGTACACTGATTATCTATCTGAGGTCCCCAATGTCTATTTCACTTTTGGTTTCCGAGACACTCATTGGATCCTGCCTCTTACTTCCACTGCTCCTTCACCCTGACCACACTTAGTGTCACATGGTGACTGTCCAGCATCCTGGTCACTGAATTTATTTCTTGGTACCATTAATTCCTGCCTGGCCCCTGAGAACCCAGAGACTGTGAGAAAAGCCAGTATTTATGTTTTCCAGGGGCTTTGCAGAGGTGCTAATTAGCTCCTTTTCAAAGTCCTATAATCAAACAGTAAGAGGATTGTTGATTTTCCTTTCTCCCCTCCTCCTCCTTTTTGGCTTTTGGCCCCAATAATAAGTATGGTTCATAAAACTCATCTTGTTCTTTGGCGAGGACACCGGCTCTGGGCTGCATTGCTGGCAGCCCTGCGGGGCAGCTGCTCCAAGCTAACTTGGCTGGTCAGCCTGCCTGAGAACGTCAACAATGGGCGTCCTCTTTCTTTGCCTCCAGGCTTCTTCTTCTTGGGGAGGAAAAGCAGGTTGTTTTGTTTTTTCCTTAAGAAGTATGGGGATTTCCGATGAAGATGAAAATATTTGTGCCTCACAGATGAGGGAGAAGACAGGGAGATGGACTTTTCAATGTATTATACTAAAAAAAAAAAGATTTTTTTTTTTTTTTACAATATTTTTACGACACGTTTTTACAACAACCCAGTGGATTGTTTTTCCATGTAGGTGAGCGCTTTACACTGAGAAGATGCAAGTGTAGAAGAAGAGGGACCCTTGTGTTTGTAGGAATTGAGATGAGTGGAAATGTCCATGTACAATTAATTGGGGAGTGGACACGTCTTCTTGATTTAGAAGATGCTGAAGTGGCATTTTCTTTCTCTTTCAACTGACTTGCTTTAATTCAGGTGGTGCCTACAGGTCTGAGCCTTCGCTAAAGGTCACGGGTCAGGCATACCAGGCTGTTTCAACCCGTGATTTCCATGGCTAACAGAAGCAGCTAGCTCAGGGGCGGGGCCAGGATTACTGTCATCCTTATATCTCCTGTTCTTTTTGGATTCAGCCCAACATTTGCTTTCTGAGCAGGAAGCGGATGCTGAAAAGCTCATTGCAATTTGTTGAGGACTTGGTAACTTTTGTGAAAGTTGATTTTTGTTTTACATTTGTGTTATGTATTAAACTCATATCTAGAAGCCAAAGCATTAGACACTTTTTAAATAAATTCAGCCAGTAAGCAAATTCACACAGTGAGTCAGATGCCAGGATTATGGTGCTGAATTTCCCAATTCAAGGTCTCCTCTCTGGAAACTGAAACTCCAAGCCAGTGAATAAAACTACATATTTGGAAAGCAGCAGTAGATTACATCATAAATGTATCTTTTTATTGTCACGTTGCTCCAAAAATTAAAATCTGTCACTACCATAATCTATAATAAAATCTCACATATTTCTTTTGGGCTGATTTTTTGGTGATGATGAACTTACCTGGTTACTCGAAAGTCATATATAAACAATCTCAGAAGTTATTCACTCAGTAGTGTTCTTCCTATAAAGTCATATTAATGTTAGTTCTCTTCAGGGTTTTGTGTGTCATGTGATGTCAAAAGACTTATGATAGCCTTTGGTTTGAAAGTATCTTTCCCTACTGACCTTATAGTTTTAAATTTAATTTAATCCTCCTGTTGATTGTTCCAAAGGTTAGAGATCTGTAGGAGGTGTATAACTTGGTTCTGCACAGGAAAAATGAGTTTTGTGTAAAACAGAGATAGATAAAAATAGACAACATGAAACGTATGCCCCACCTCTACATGCAGAAGTATAGGAGAGGCTATAACTTAAGCCATCACTCCAAATGAAAAAGAGATCATTGGTCTGAGTAAGGCATACACAATGATCAAATAAAATTATATTTTGAAAAAGAAAATCTCTATTTAAATACTTTGTTCCTGCAAGGTAACATTTTGAATTCATGTGGGATGTTTTTTATTCTTTTCAGCAATTTCACCCGAAACAAATTGACGAGTTTGTCTAGGAAACATTTCCGTCACCTTGACTTGTCTGAATTGTAAGTAATGACTTTATGTGGCATTTGGGGAAAAATTTCAAAATTTCAATTAAATATATGTTTTTAAAATGAGTACATCTATTTTTTATCAAAATCATTGAAAAATGATTTCTCAAATTTTGACTACTTATTCTTCTTCCTGAATATGTGATTCAGTAATAAAAACAACAGATATCTTAATGGTGACATATCTTTTGTGATGAGTCTAAATGTTATATTTACATAAGAATGAAAAAACAGGGGGACTTTGTGTGAAAATGACAACACACCTCATGGCATCTGTTTGGCCCTTGTTATGTTCAGGTGATAGTAAACCCATTCAAGAAGGAAATCCCAATGGGCAATAACTGACCCCCCCAACACATCCCCACCAACAGCTTTAAACCACCAACTCCAGAGCTGTCTGACTGTTAGTGAATATTGGAGGAGAGGCAGTCTTTTCCTTGCCTACCCAACACTGAGAGATTTTTTTTTTCTAGGTCTGCCAATTCATTCAATATTTATCCTTATGCTAAATTCCTTTTGCTGTAAAGTGCTTGCTAGGAGTGAAAAATGTGAAATGTGTTGAGCACTAATATTCATTATTTCCAAGTATGACCATTCTTGTGTTAGTACATAAAGCAAATATGAGCTGTGCCATTCCTTTGAGTAAAGCACCCACCAAAGAACCCTAGAGCGGGGCTTCTGTGTGGCAGAGGTGGACAAGGTCTTCAAATACCAGCCAATAGCTTTTGCTTAAACTGTTTGTTGCCCCAGTTGTAGGTTCAACCCTTTTCATAGGAAATCATGTGGGTTAAAGGATACTACTAGTAGAGAAACAAGTTGATAGGTGGTTTGATGGTAAAATTTTGGCCAATAGCAATTATTGTGAATAAACTCAATTTAAGCAGTTGGAACACTAGATTTCTAATTCAGGACTAGATATAGAAAACTTAAGGAAGATCTATGAAATACAGTAAGAAAGTATAAACGTTTTGAGTGACACCACAGAAAATTTACTTGAGGAGCTAAAAGTTAGAGTCCTGATTTCAAATTCACATGTTTTGATATTTTCCTTGCAGCGTATTTGCCTGTTGCACATCAAAATAATATGGCACTAGGAAATAGGAATACAAGAGGGATAGTTTCTGTGTTCCAGGATTTTGCTATCATGTGCAGAGGTAAAAGCTTAAACAAATAAGAGGGATGAGCTGTGAATAATAACTGCAAAAGAAATTGCAAACTGAGCTAGCAACAGTCAGCTGTGTGATGGCATTGTGTGGTCCTGCAAGCATTCTTGTGTTATACATGAGGATGCCTTTGCATCTTTATCCCTTTTGTTGATTTAATCATACCTTCATTTTAGAAAGATTCTATAGTTTCTCATGTACCCTGAGTGCCAGGAAACATCTTAGGTAAGGGGGGCTTAAACACTGTGAATCACTTCTGCATTATTCCATATCCAGTAGTGTTGAATCATATTTTGGTATTGAAGGGATACTTGCAGGCAATCACACAGACAGAAATTAAACGAGTCTGCCATGACCACATTTTCCCCAAAGAAACTCCCAGAAAAGTCTCCAGGGATCCCTGAGATTCTTAGAACCCAACCAGAAAACCACAGAAGCAAATGATATTGCAAGCCCAGATCCTGTCCTCACGGAAATCTTAAGTATTGTGGTTAATGCCAGGCAGAGCCTATGTAACGATTTTAAATGACCTCATTTAAAGGCTCATTACCATAAATGGAATTCATCTTAAATAGGCCACTGAGTATTATAAATAAGCATTTAAAGATTTTTTTTTTCTTGTGGTTTTTATTTTCCTCTTGACTATTTCCTCTTTGGCCAATCACAAGCCACAAGAGTCAGGTGGCAGGGCTGAATGGTGGCTTTCTCTTTGCAGACCTTACCAGCCTGGGTTAAGTGGTTCAACTTGAAAGTCAGTTGCCCTTGCTCTCAGAAACCCTGAACTTGGTGTGTGACAGCGTATGCTCACACAGGATGTCCAAGAACTAAAATTTCTTCATTTCTTCATTTATTTATACAAGCACTGGGTACAGTCAGAAGCGCAGGAGGGTGAGAGAATTCACCAGAGCCAGAGTGGGGAGCAGAGCAGGCAGAAGTCCGAAGTACACTGCTGAGGGGAGCAGAGGGCAGCAGGAGAGGTCTGCGCGCCATGCGGGACCCTCCTCCAGTGGCTGGGGAGCAGTCGGGCAGCCTTGCAACCCAGCTCTCAACCGCTGCGCCACCAGAGAGGCCCAAGAACTAAAATTTCTTGCATCAGTCAAACAGAACTGTGGTTACATAATGAAGAAAGCTGAGAGGACCAGCCTGTTGCTCTCATGATTGAGCTTTGCATTATACTTAACATTTCATTTTAAATTAAGATGAAATTGTACCCCCCCATTGAAATTTGAGCTTATGAAATGATAACCTTCACTCTCCAACCTGGTTGGAAATAAGTATGCTAATATATCTGAAAATGTATTGTTGGCATCTGTAAGATCTTCTTAACGAGAGATAATTTTCTTAATCTAATAATTGTGATAAATTTATTATGGCACCTTAGTTTTTTCCATCTTATGAAACATCTTTTCTGTCCTATATTATAGCTATTTCTGTTCCTGTCTTGTTTCACCTATACATTTGTAAGGTCTTACAACATTTTGCATGTTTAGCCTCTGTGGTGGTATTTACATGTAACAGAAGCTTGGTAAATATTACATAAATGATTGGTTAATAAATACTGTCATGCAATAAAGGTAGGTATGATTTTCAAAGATTGCAGGCTAGAAAATATCATAACATTGTAGTAGTCCATTAATATTAGTGTAGTTAAAACTGAAAATGCAGTTTGATTGGATTTCATTTTTGTTTCATGTAGGATCCTCATGGGCAATCCATTTACATGCTCCTGTGAAATTATGTGGATCAAGACTCTTCAGGAGACTAAATCTAGTCCAGAAACTCAGGATCTGTACTGCCTAAATGAAAGCAGCAAGAATATTCCCCTGGCAAACCTGCAGATACCCAATTGTGGTAATTTACTTTTAAATCAATGAATTCTAGTTGCTATTAATTATTCTAATTACCTTGGTGTGGTGGAGAGTCTGGGAGGATTACCACTATTCACATTTTATATAGTATGCTAGTGATGTCTCCAGTGATTGAGACAACATTTGTGTGCAGTATAGAGAAATCAGTTGGGAACTACTTTGCTAAATATTCTTTGCAAGTAGAATAGCAATTTTGAATGAATAACTGAAAATGCATAGAGGAAAAGTACTCTGTTTATTCCTTTGTTTCTTTGTCCATCTGTCCATCCATCCATCCATCCATCCATCCAAAAAAACCTACTAAGAGTTTGATCATTTATCCAATATGAACTTGTTTGCTCTCCAGGCCATATAGAAAGAAGGATCTGAGGATGTTAAAAATAAATGCATAAAATAAATGTGGCTCAATCCAGCACATTCTCTTAAGCTTGTCTTGCTGTCAGGTGTCTGTGTCTCTTGGAGGGTCAGGGTGCATCTGCCTTCCTCAAGCTTCCCCCATGTTTGTGTTTATATTCTCCCCCTTACTCATGTCCCGACTTCTTTCCTCAGTATTTGCACCTCCAGGACTTAAAAGGGCATCATATGAGGAAATCCTAACTCTCTGTGAGTGCCAGTGTAATTATAAGGGAGGAAAATCAAAGTGTCTGGTTAGGATTTTGCTTAATACCCCCACATGCATGTTATTCCTCTGTTGAAATTTTAATCAATTAGTTAACTAGTTAATCAGTTCAAGCATTTATATTTCATCTTCTGGCCTGTGACTGGGGATACAACACATAATTATGTAGTACTTGAAACTGTGTGTTAACCATAAACTTCCTATTCTTTTTTTTCAAAGACTATTGTTTGGGGTTAGTTTTTATATAAGGAAAATATAGCTGCTGCCACTTTTAATGAGAATGTGATGAAAGGAAAGACAAGTGTTTGTTTCTTATCCTAAAGGGCCTTAGAAGACTGTACTTGACCCTTCCCACAGATTTTTCTGTTGTAAGTAGGCCCTTTTGCTTCCTAATGGAGGTATCAGTCTTTTTTCTCTTGCCAAGTTCCCTCAGCTTTCTTTGCTAGCCAACATAAAAGAAAAAAAACAAAAGCCTCTTAATATATATCTTTTTCTGATTGATAAGAGGGTAACTATTCTCTGTTCTGGTATAAAGTTGCACTGCTGAGAGAAATTGCCTAGAGGGACATGAAATTCAATGTTGAGTCACCTGGCCCCTTGGCCAGCTCCCAAATCCCCATGGCTGTTGTGACCACATTGATTCAACAACCACTGAGAGGAAAAAAAGAAAACATCTAATTCTGCTCTGATTTCACAAACTGCCTCTTAATAGACGTCTGCTTTGCCCTTGCCTGAAACCAATTTTGGCTGCTTTTTGTTTTTTTTTTTTAGTTTTTAGCCATGTTGCCTTGACGGCATTCTGGTAATCCCCACCCCACCCCCACACACCCCCATCCCCTACTTAGGTTTTGTTGCTAGGTCATTGAGATAGTAGGGAGGTGGGGGAGAGGGGAAAAGGGTAACTGTGAACTGCTCCCAATTTTTCCTGACCAGTTTGTTGGTTTTCAACGATTTTTTGTCCCCTACAAATTAGTCAATGGATTGTTTGAGTGAGAGTAGACTTTAGGTCCACTGCCAAAGGGCATATGTTGATTGATCCATTAGGACTGAATAGTTAGATTCATGGTAACTATTCACCTTAACTCTTCCGTATTGATGGGCATTTAGGTTATTTCCCATTTTCCATTACTACTTAAATATTCAACCAACATCTTTGTATGTACTCTTTGTGCACATGTACAGATGCAAAGATTTTTCTAGAATACATAATAGGAAGTACTTTCAGGCTTGTATGGTTTGCACATTAAAAAATGTTGTACCAATTTATAGCCGTTCAATACCTTGAAATTGGCTAGTTTATTTTTTGTCTTTCTAAAATATGGTATGTTATTGTTTTTTAGTTTTCATTTTCCTGATTATTACTAACTTCGGGTTACTGGACATTGTCAGTGAATTGTCCGTTTATATTCTCGGTCTGTTTTTCTATAGGGTTTTCCTTTTCTTCCATTGATAGTTCTTTGTTTTACTTTTTCTAATTGTTTGAAAGTAATAAATTATGGGTTTTTTTGTAAATATAATGCCCAAATATTTACCACACATATCTAAATTTATTATTTGCAAATATCTAGAGATAATCCTTAACAAAACATGAAAGGAAATTTTACTTCCTTTACTTTCTCCTTCCATATTCCACATCATTATCATCTGGTATTTTATTTTTAGATTTATCGTTTCTTTGTATATTATTTGTATATTATTTTGTATATTTCTTTGTATATTATTTGTATATTATTATTTCTTTGTATATTACCTACTACTTTCTCTTGGAGCGGGTTTTCTTTTTGCTGAAGAATATTCTCTAGTATATCTTTATTAAAAATTTTATTTTATTTTATTTTATTCATTTTTTGTGGGACCCTCGCCGGCGGCCGGGAAACGAACCGGTGCTGCAGAGGCTGCGGGCAGCCTCGCAGCCCAGCGCTCAACTGCTGCTCCACCAGGGGAGGCCCTATTAAAAATTTTAAATAAAATCTGCAAGTTCTTGCCTGGAGGGAAATCAGCCTGTATTTTCCAAATAATTGAACTATATTTTCATGGAATCAGCTGAGAATAAAATCCTAGACTTAAAAAGATTTTTCTTTTATAATTTTGTGGATAGTGTACTATATTATCCTTGTATTCAGTGTTGCTGATAACAAGCTCAAGGTCAGTCTGATGCTTATTTCTTCATAGGTGACTTGTGCTTTTTATTTTACCTCTAGAAGCTTTTAAGTTTTTCATCTAATTCATGTTAGTCTTAGATTTTACTACAATGTACCTATGGTATGTATATATATATATATATGTTAAATAACTTGTTCTGTTTGGCATGCAATGTAACCTTTCAATATGAATGCTCATGTCTTCAGTTCTGGAAGAATTTTCTAGTTTATTTAGGTGTATATTTATACTTCTGGCTAAGCTTTCCATACTTCTTAACTTTCTGTGATTACTTTCCGTGTTTTGGGGTTTGTTTTGGAAGAACTACTTTATTCATTTATTTTGCTCTTCAGCTATTGCTCCACTAATGATTTCTCCCTTTCAACAACTAATTTCTAAATTCCTCATTTTCTAAGCAATTTTCTTTTTATGACTGAAATGCCCCAATTTATATTGGGCTTCACCATATTTTTAGGGTGCTACCAGCACTTGGTATGACTGATTTTCTCCTTTACCCAGTACTCATTGCTTCTACTTGGAGGTAGTTGCAGCTGCTGCTGGTTGTGGCACCCAAAGTAGGAGGGAAGGGCAGGAATTGCAAAGATTTTTCCTCCTATTGTGTCTACTCATTTTCTTAATCATTCTTACTTTCCAATGTGGCAGTGAATTTTTTAAAAATTACATAATTTCTAGAATTTTGAGATGAGAGGAGGAGACTTCAATTTGGGGCTTAGTCATGGATTAACCTACCTCATCATGGTGTCCCAACTTTGATCCTTTAAATCAAAGTTAAACAGATTGAGTAGTAAATTACACTGCCTTGTTGACTTAATTTTTGTTTCTGATATTCTGTGTTAAGGAAATCAGATAATTTCTGATATCTTCAAGTTAGATATCTGTACAAAACAAGGGTTCATGATCAGTTGGCTGTTCTTTATTTCCTTTAGCTCTCACCATTTGCAAGCTTTCAAAATATATGTTATATTTAATTTGGTCACAAATTCATGGACTTCTTACATTTTTCCTCAGATATTTTTTTATTATTTTTTTAATAAATTTTATTTTTATATTCCCCATACAATTGCAACCCCCTTATTTTGACCCCAATCCCTCCCCTCCCCGCCCCCCACGCCCCATAGAGTGTCTCTGGTTCATAGTTGTTTGTTGATTTTGATTTGTACTTTCTTATAGTTATTCTTTTTCCTGGTCCCTTATTTAAGTTTTCTAGATTCGTGCTATGAGTGAGACCATCTGGTATTTTTCTTTTTCTTTCTGGCTTATTTCGCTGAGCATGATCCCTTCCAGGGCCATCCATGTTGCTGCAAATTGCATGTGTTTATCTTTTTTGAATGTTGAGTAATATTCCATGGTGTATATGTACCGCATCTTCTTGATCCAGTCATCTATTTTTGGGCATTTGGGCTGTTTCCAAAGCCTAGCTATTGTAAATAGTGCTGCTATAAACATAGGGGTGCAGGTGCTCTTTGGAATTGATGTTTCTGTGTCCTTTGGGTAAATACCTAGGAGTGGAATTGCTGGATCATATGGACCTATGTTTAGTAGGTCCAGAAATCTCCACACAGCTCTCCATAGTGGTTGGACAGTTTGCTCTCCCACCAGCAGTGCAGGAGAGTTCCTTTTTCTCCACGACCTCGCCAACAACAAATCTGATCTTTTAAGGAAAGGCTGGAGTTACAAATTTCAGATACATCTATTATAAAATTAAATTGTATGAATAATTGACATACCCAAGGGAAAGTTTTTGAAGGAAAATATTGCTGAGGACAGATTTTGGGAATAGTAGAAAGCAAAAAGAAAACTGTTCATAGTAGTTTCTGATTATTCTTTTGATTTCTGCTGTGTCCATTGTGATTTCTCCTCTTTCATTTATGATCCTGTTTATTTGTGCTTCCTCCCTTTTTTCCTTTGTGAGCCTGGCAGGGGTTTTGTCTATTTTTCCGAAGAACCAGCTCTTGGTTTCATTGATCTTTTGGATTGTTTTTTTTTTAGTTTTGATTTCATTTATTTCTGCTTTGCTTTTTATTATTTCTTTTCTTCTGGTTTTTGTTTTTTTTTGTTGTTCTTTTTCTAGATCTTTGAGCTTCAAGATTAGGTTGTTTCTTTGAGTTCTTTCTTGTTTCTTGATGTGAGCCTCTATGGCTATATGTTTTCCTCTTATTACTGCTTTTGCTGCATCCCATACATTTAGGAAATTGGTGTCCTCC